ATCGGTTGCACTGGATATAGCCACGACGAACCTTCTTACCTCACTGCCCATAATGTTCCTGCAACGCAGCCACCACGCCGTCAACTGTCTGAGGGGGTTCAACTTGTGAGTTCTCAACTTCTAGACCTGACAGACTAGATTCATAAGAGCACATCCAAATCTTAGCCAGGTAAATAGCGAGCTTTGATCACATAGCGAGCCCATCAGTTTGCGTGTACCACGTACCGTCACAGAAGAAGCAAATGATCTTCTTTGCAAACGTCGTCAGCGTGACGAAAGTGTCCTCCCCAACATTCGGGATGTTATCCCTGTATAAACAAGATGTGCCACCATCGGCCTTGAGCTTTTCACATCTAATTAATGAGTATACAAGCTTTTCACATCTAAAGAGATCTGCGCCTCGTCAGCATCCAACTTAATAGACAAAACTGTTGTCTTGATGAACACTGTTGACGTCTCAATATTGGCCTCTGTCAATGGAGACAGCCAAGAAGCGATGTCGTTTGTCAAACTTTCGTAACAGCTGCCTGGAAACGAAAGTACCAGTCGCAAAGGAACAGCTTGTGGAGTTTGGCTATACTATAGAGACTGGCAAATTGACCACCGGTGTCTCACTTTCTCATACAGTTCTTGTGAGATCTTTCCGTCACTCTGCGGCCCTTTCAAGTTTTAGTTGAAATCTGGCTGGACTTCCAACACCATGTCCTTGCGTGATCGCGGAAGCACTTTCTTGAACTGAAGACAGTTCAAAACTTTCAGAAAACTTCGGTCAGGTCAGTCAATCATAAACGGATGTCTTAAACAGTACCAAAGAAGTACCCTTTTGGTCGCCAGTTGGTCGAATCCTTGAAAGGCGTAAGCTCTCCCCGCCTTAAATCTGCTTCTGGCTGTAACCAAGAAGTTTGAAGAAGGAGTTTCTTTCCAAATAATGCTTTGGTTGAAGTTTGAAATACCGGTAACTAGGACTGCCAGGTTTTTTTTTTACATACACTCTGTTTTTTGGGCGTTCCTCTCGTGAAGCTCTTTCGTTTTGATAGTTTTCAAAGCTGAGTATGAGCATAGACTGGAAAAATATGCAAACAACCAGTTTCATTTTTGCCATAAGTGTAATCCAGGGCAGGAGCGGTCATGTCATATTTTCTTGGATTCAATGGGAGCTTTGAATGGTGTTTGAAATGCTATTCTGAAAACTTTGGCCTTTTTTTAAGGTCAACCAAATTGATTTTACGAGCGCTCCCAGAATATTATAAAGACACTCTTTGGATAAAACTTTTCGCGCGCAAGCAACTTTGTGAAAAAAAGGTCAAAAATGCCGTTTTTTTCCATTTTTTGAAAAACTTTGACCAAAAATCAGCTTTTTTTTTGGCGCGCGCTCCCCTTCAAAACTAGTAGATATTGGCGCCTCTAAAAAGTTTTCGGTTCGGTCGGCCGAAAATGTTTGTCATAATTGTGGTGAGGGGGTCGAATTCCTGAGGTGGAAGGCGACCGCGCCCATCCCCCTCCTAAATCCGTAAATCCGCCCCTGCTGGTGTCAGATCTAGTTTTGAACAAATTTCGAAACATTTTTGAGCAGATTTCGAACGTATTTAAACAATTTTAAGGCTTTTTCGAACAAATTTCGAACATATTTGAAATTCTCTGAACAAATTTCGAACATACCTGAACACTTTTTAAACTACCCTGCGGAATCAAAGATTAAGGGTTTAACCGAGAAAAGAAACCAGTTATGCGAATTTTCCCTGTGCAAGAGGCCATGCAGTGCGTTTTGGAAAAAAAATGGCTGTAGAAAATGTCTATTTTTAAAATTTTGCACGATTTTTGAGAACTCGATTTTTTTTTTCAAAACTAACCTGCTGATTCTGAGAATAGCAGATGTGGACTTCGTAAAAATCCATTTTTTGTAATTTCTACCGTTTATAGAAGTTCCATCATTTCTCTCAAAAACTAAAAGCTGAATCTGATATTAAGTGTTGAATCTAAAAATTACAGTGTGGAATTTTTCCCGGATAAGAGGCTATTACCATGCTTTAGTACAGAAAAGCTTGTAGTTTTAGGAAAAACGAAACTTTAGAGTGTCTGATTGTTTTTTGGAATCTTTTTTACTTTGTTTCGAAAACTAACCAGCGATATCTGGGATAAAGAATTCAATTGAAAGAGCGAGTAGTAGTTTTCTGCCTTAAATGAGCGGCTAAACCCCTACTCAAGCAGAGAAATCATTTGGGTTTTGTGTAAAGTCCAATTTTATGAAATTTTGAAAACCTAAACTTTTCCGTATCAGTACAGTATATAATTAATAATATTAAAACCGGCACATCCAACATTAGCTGGGCCACTAGTTTACTTCCAAGCGACCATGGCGCAGATGCGAGGACGTGCGAAACTTTGCTGCTTTGCATTAGCAATTTTATAGAAACTTTAACTGCTATATTGGTGGCTAGTGTTAGTAAAATTACAAGCGGTCGGGAACAGAAGTGAGAACCGAACACTTCTAATCTCAACAAAAATAATCTCTTAAGTGTTTTTTTAAATGTTTTCTTTTTTCTATTCCACTTTATTTTACCTGTTTAGAGCTCTTTTTTGCTTTTTCCTGGCTTGAGTTTGCCAAGCGCAGTTTCGTCTCTGTGTATTTTTTTCCTTTTTCCTTATTTCACTTTGTTTTGCCTGCCCGGGTTAACCAAAATTTCTTAACATACAATTTCCTTATATGGAAAACTTCTTACCATACAATTCCATACAATGTCATACGTACGGAAATGTGTATGAAATCTCTACGATAAACTTTTCATAAATGAAAATTGTATGATAAGTATAAATATGAATTTGATTTTTTTCTAGTTTAATTTCTTAAAATTTTTGGGTTGTTTTTTGAAACCGAACCCAAGTGACATAGACCTGGGTTTACTCAAAGCACTAAAGGTTGGACGGTCTTGCATTTACATTGCATACAAAACGCTCTGAATGAATTATCATAAACGTCCTGAACTGTCATATATGTACTACCATCATCGACTTTACGGTTAGACTTAATAGACGACGAGTTCCGCGTGGCTTGTAGATGCAGACTTGGTGCCGCCTTTACAAACACATTCAAGTTTGTTTGCGGCTCTCTGTGTGACACGGACGGTACGCACTCACTCATCTGCCCTAAATTCAAAACCCGTTTTCAGCGACATAACAACTACAACATTCACATCAAAAAGTTCTTGCTGTCAGCTGGTATGCCATCAACCCTCGAACCGTTGCGACTAGTTCGCAGAGATTAAAGACGACCCGACGGTGTCACATTGTCATCGTTGAAACGAGGAAAGCTGGTTGCATGGGACTTCACTTGCGTGAATCGGTTGGAGAAGTCCCATCAGAGACTTGCAGTTGTTGAGGGCCCCACAGTAGCCAATGATGCAGAAACTAGGAAACAATCTCATTATCCAGAACTACCCGAAGTTATCGTATTATCTTCGAGCATGTTGCTGTGGAATATCTTGATGGCGTGGGAGAAACAACGCGTGGGAGAAACAGATATTCATGCGAACCCAAGTGACAAAGACCTTGGTGTACTCAAAGCACCAATGGCTGGACGGTTTGCACTTACATTGCGTGCAAAACGACCTGAATTGTCTTAAAGCTGTCTTTCACAAATAATTTAAGGAAATTAACAAACTTTTAAGTTTTATCAAAAACTTTCAAAGATGGAACTTTTCAAAGTTTGAGTTTTTAATTTTTCATGGATCGATCTAGGGATATATAAACATGCCATACAAATGGAGCAAACGTTTTGAGCGTTTTTGAAAGAAAAATCCAGAGAAACTGAAAAAGAAATCCAACTTTTCTGTATCCAGGACTACGTTATGCACACAAAAAAATAACTTTTGCACGCAAATTTTTTTGGAAAGAGTTTGTTTTTGTACAAAACTCGTTTTGCGGTTAAAAAAAATCAAAAAAAATATAAAGTTATTTCAAAATAACTTTTGTGTCACCATATTTTTTTTGAAAATGTTTGTCACAGGTTTGTACGATAAGCAATTTTTTCAAAAAACAAAATCCTCGGTTTTTTCCTTACCAGACTGCTTCATTAGAATCAAAAGCCGCAGAAATTAGTTAATATCTTTTTTCAACCGTTTTTCGAAATTGTATGAAAAATGTATGACAAGCAGCTTTCCATACACTTAATGTATGTAATTGTATGATATGCATTTTGGTGTATGGAGGTCAACCCGTTTATTTTCTATGCGTTTATTTTGACTTAATTAACGATTCATTAGCAAGCTGTAGCGAGCGTAGTGTATATGAAAGAAACCTTTTTTCTCAGTTGCGAGCTTCAGCGAGCATAGTGTTTAGTACGAATTTTTTTTCTAAGCTAACTCGCAAATAAAAATGCTCATTTGGTGGCACTTTTGCTATAATAACGATCTGAAGCATTTGAAAGTTCATAGCATCTTGTCTCTGCTTTTTGTGGCTAGAAGTTGTGACTTGGTAAGCGTCGGAGGTTGAGTGGTTAGTGCGTGAGACTCAAAGTCTCTTGGTCGAGGCTGCTGAGTTCAATTTTGTTTCAGTACTAATTTACTGAATTTTTTTTTGCATATTTTTCTCAAAAATTAACTTCATTCAAGACAAGTGTCTAAATGTTTCGATAGACCTAATTTTTGATATTATTCCGAACAATTTTTTCACTGAAGATTTTCGCATATTTTTGATGCCGGCTAATTTCCATATTGTTTTTGAGCTGCTTCGCAAGTAGTCCGAAGCTTCGCTTCTTTTCTTTGTAGAATAGTAGAATAGTAGTTATCTAATTATAGCTGAAAACAAAAATTAATTATTAGCTTTTCAATTTAGGTTTTCATAATTTTGATGTAAATGATAGATCAATGAAGTGATTTAAGTTAAGAAACAAATTTTTTTGAAATATTGTTTTGAAATCAAATTTTGGAGTGCATGGCAAAAGGCAAATTTGAAATGGCGAAAAACTGAAATCAAGGAACATATTTAAAATTTGATGTGCGCAGTAAATTATTTCAAAGCAAGTGAAATATTTTTGATTGCATTATAGTAGTTTTTGTAAATAAGTAAATATATATATAAAAAAACAATTTTACAATAACTTGGATTTCTTTATTGAAGGATTTTCATAGTGATTTCAGTTTTTCTTCCAGCAAGTGATAATTTCCAGAGAACTGATCATCAGTTGATAAGTCAAACCGGAATCTGTTCCCAATACACATGAGTAGATCTGCTTCCGGAATGAAATTGGCTTCTGCAATCAAAGGTATAAAAGTTGTCTCCCGATTTCTGGCATATCTTATTTCACACATGCAGTTTTTGCTCTTATGGTAATCATTTGACAACAGACATAAAACAGCACATGAGTTGTCAACCGCGTTGGCCATATCATCTAGAATGTCTATTCCTTTGTGCACATTCTCTTTATCTATCCAGATATCTGTGAACCCAGACTTGCGAAGTTCTTCTAGCAATTTGAATGCTAGATCTTTTTGCTTGTGGCAGTAGCTGATCATAATATGTTTTTGTTTAGTGCTAACCACTGCTGGGGAAATGGAAATTTTATCTTCACGTTTCAACATTTTTTGCGCATTATCACTTTTACTTGTTCCGGCGACACAGTTGCATTGGTTAAAAATGTCTTTACCCATTTGTTTCTCGCCAGAGGTTTCATTTTTAGTTTGATCGTCAAAGAGGCTGTGACTATTCGCACAATTATTGTTTTTGCTGCCGTGGCTATCTTTAGAATCAGCAAGGCATTCAGCAGATGTTTTTTGACCATCGAATCCAAGATTATGAGTACTGGAACCAGAAACAAGTCCGGAAGAGCTTTCGTTCTGATTGTTAATTTTGTCAAAGTAACTAGTAGATCCCTGGTTAAGGTCTTTAAAGGGCAAACTTAATTCAATCTCTTCTATTTCAGTTTCCTTGGTTATTTTGTCAAAGCAACTAAATGATCTTTGTCTAAGGTCTTTCGGCGGCTCCTTAGTTTCCGAATGGTCCTCTTGGTCAGATTCAAAATTTTCGAACTCTTCTATTTCAGTTTGACTGCTTTCGACTTTTTCTTCGCATTCAGCATCGCTTGTATCATCTTCGTTTCTGGTAACCTGACCGGTTTCATCTGCTATGTTTTCTATCGGCAACGTCAACCCTTTGACGGTTTTAAGCTCGGTCAAATTGTCAATGCTCATTTTCTGCATACCTAAAGAAAAAAGTTGATAAAAATTTGAATTAAGCCTTGAAAATACAGTGAAGACAGGAATTTTTTGACAGGAGACTCGATGTTTATGGTCCAAAAAAAGTTTATCGTAACTTTATTAGGAAATACTGAAAAGACGTTATTTTGCCAACAAAATAGGTGCGCGGAATATTTTCGGGCAATTTTGAAAATTTTTGACCAAAACAAACGCTAAGCCCGTTGAGTCTAACCATGCACTAGTAGAAATGATCAAACAATTTCTACTGCATTTTCTTTTAAAGTCTTCAAGAATCGCATTTAAAAGTCTTCAAGAATTTTTTAAAATCAGTGAAATTTAATGTCTGACCGAAAAAGTTACACCCAAACACTCTTTGTGAAAACTACAAAAAAATAATGTAAAATGTTTGTGTGCGTTTCTAATTTATATTTTTTTGCTTTTTAATTTGAGTAGTATAGATATACGACACTGGGATCGGGGGGGTGATCCCTACAGGGATCATTGGGTATAGATTCCTAATGATCCCTATGTAAATATTTATACCTAATGATCCCTATGTAAAATATTTATACCTAATGATCCCTATGTAAAATATTTATACCTAATGATCCCCATGTAAAATATTTATACCTAATGATCCCAATGTATAATTTTTATCCCTAATGATCCCTATGTAAAATATTTATCCCTAATGATCCCTATGTAAAATATTTATCCCTAATGATCCCTATGTAAAATATTTATACCTAATGATCCCTATGTGAAAGTTGTGTTGGTTAAAACAAAATCGTACTGGCGATATATTATTTCTTTCCACCACCTATAGCTCGGCAAGCTATGTTGTATTCCAATTGAACTAAAACTTTTCATTGTGTTTTGCTGTTGAAGGTCTTTGCGAATTGGTTCTTTCAATGTTTCTACAAACGCTTTGGTCTTGGTGAAAAGAGATATGAACTGAAATGGTTGAATTATACACACAATCTTCTGAAGTAAGTGTCGGTTAAACGCACCAAAAGCAGTTTGGGGTCAATTCCAAAATGAAAACTCTCAAAACCACTCCAGATAAAATAGTAACACAAAACCAAAAGTGGATTTAAAGTAGCCCGCCATTACCTAACAGTGAACAAACGTGGAAAGTAAGTATAATACAGTACACTAATTTACAACATTAAATTTTGTATTCAACTTGAATCAAACACACAACATTAGAGTTTTTTGTTTGTTTTACGTCTTTTTGATTGCGGTGCTGAATCTTCAACTGCTTCGCGGTCGAGGTACCATTCATCATCCGACGACGAAGAAGAAGTAACTGCATTTGGATCAACCAAATCATCGCTTTCGATATCACTCTCAACAATTTCTGTGACACGAACTCTACCTGGATCTGGAGCTTCATAGCTGGTGATACTATTCAACAGGTCTCTCAACGAACGGCTCGGTTGAGTATCTAACACAAGAAAGCTATCTTCTGACAAATAATTCGTATCCTGCGTAAAGATTTCTTCTTGGTTCGAGCTCTCGTGATCCCAGTCGACTATCTCATCTTCTTCCTCGAAAAATTTCAGCCAATCGTCTAAATCTTGATCTTTGTGGTGACTGGTGCTATTAGTCTCACTCACGTTCCTTTCGCTATCATCATCATCATCATCCTGATTGCTATCGGGAAAGATAGAAGCATTTACTGTTCTATAGTGACCGTATGGCAATGTAGAGATACCATCGCTGAGGATGTATCGCTTATCATCATAGGCTGATAATGCGATTTTGTTTGCTCGAACAGTGTTCAGAATATGCCTCTCGGAGATGATGCGAGTATTTTCGGCTCGTACAAGGTTTCCAGACGCGAGAGTTTTGATGTATTTTTCATGAGTTAGCAACCGTTGAGTCACCTTAGTGATTCCTTTTGCTGAGTGCTTCCGTGTATCTATTAAAAAAATGATGCTCACTAATCATTATATATCTAAATGTTTTGTAAACTAATACTTGAAATTGAAGAAAAAAAGTATGAACGCATCCTTTTCAGAAGATCCACACCCCCCCCTCTCATTTAAAAAAAGGTGATAACCATTTAACCTATACCTCCCCCCTTACCCCCACCCACAGAAGCACCAAAAAACCTAAGTCATCTCAAAAATTTCACTCAGTAAAAAATTTTTTCACAAAAAATTTTTTTCATAAAATTTTTTTTTTCAAAATTTTTTTTTCAAAAATTTTTTTCAAAAAATTTTTTTTCAAAAAATTTTTTTTTCAATTTTTTTTTTCCAAATTTTTTTTTTGATGACAAAATTTTTTTTTCATAAAAATTTTTTTTTTCCAAAATTTTTTTCTAAAATTTTTTTTTCCAAATTTTTTTTTTGATGACAAAAAATTTTTTTTTACAAAACGTTTTTTTTAACATTTTTTTTTTAACCAAATTTTTTTTGACGAATTTTTTTTTAATTTTTTTTCCAACAAAAATTTTTGACATTTTTTTTCTTTCAAAATTTTTCAAAAAAATTTTTCGAAATTTTTTAATTTTTGAAAATAAAAAGCGCTGTTTGAACAATTTTGAGCCGGTATTATTGAAGGAAATGTACTTACTTTGCGATAGTATTGAATAAAGCTTTGGCTTCAATGCAACGAATTCTGTAATTATATCACCCGGGAATTCGTCTTTAAACTTTAAAACTGTAAGTTTGTTTTCTGCATTGTAGAGGAAGTGGTCCGATGGATAATTGGAGAAGTCAAAGTTGTCCAAAATTTCACGTTTCTCGTACAGTTTCTCATAAAAATTCGAGTTTTTTTCCGTTTTTATTTCGTACATTAGGCTGTCAGTGTCTGAGTACAAGAGGTGACAGTTGAAGTTGGGCTTCATAACCTCGTAGTGAAATTTGTACATCTCAAACTGTGCTAGCTCTAGTATACACGCTCCTACAATTGTGGGTACATCCCATCTGATTTTCGTTGGTGCTAATGTCAATGCAACCATGTCTTCGCCAAAAATTTTGTAGGTTTCAAATTCAAACTTACTTATATTTCGCATTGTTTCTTCAGCATCTCGTAAAATCTTGATTTTCATTCTCTTTCTTTTTGACTCACACATTTTTCCATAAATTGAATTGATCAATAGTTTGTACAGGGCTTCTTCAAACTTGTTTTTTGCCGCTTTTCGTTTGTTTGTATTTAGAGTTATGTACGGTTCGAGCCACAATTCTTGTTTGAACTTTACGATGCGATACAGTTTTGTAACGATAAGACCAAGCTTCACGTAGAGTTTCAGGAGTTTATAATGAATTATATAATGAGTTTTATCATGTAGAGTTTGTAAAAGTTTTTTCACTTTACCTATTGTGGGTCCACAGTTTTCATTGTTTTTCATTTGTTCTGAGATATTTGTTTGGTATCTGCTCAACCAATCTTTTTGAACAACTTCCTTAGTGGGTGCCAGTGGATAGTCACGGTGACTTTCATGCAACAATTGAGGGTATTTTAAATCAATTTCAACAATATAACCGTAGTCTGAATCGTCAGGGGTTGCTAAAATTTCTTCTATTGACATGGAATTCTCATCTTCGTTTTCTTGATTATTTCTTTCATTTCTAACTCCGATTGTCTCGAAATGACGTGCAGGCAGTTTGTGAGTTTGCATTACTCCACCGTATAAGTTGTTGGCATCAACCATGAAGGCATAGGTAGTATCTTCGCTCGAATTAAATGTTTCGTTCATTTGCCTGTTGTTTGCAGTGAACTGTCGTTTTTCAAAGATTGATGCAGTACCACCTCGCATCATTTTTTCAACCATGTCTAAATGATCTCGATCCGTTAGCAATTCAACATCAGCTTTACATACCCGCTTGAAAGCGTCACCAGCTAAATTGGAAGCGGTGAAATGATGAGCACAATCAAGGCTGTATGTTTCATAGCTGATAGAGCGGAATTCCTCAAAGACACAGGCTAGGAGCAATGTGTCACATGACAAATATAAGTCATGATAGTCGCGCAGGTTCTGACAATTGAATTGATTAAAAACTTCTTTTGCTTCAACCAAGTTATCAGCACTAATAGCAATTTTATCTCCGTCTAAACTATTCACCCACTTTTCGAGAGGCGGTAACTCTTTTTCGTCAAACTTTTTACGGTCGGTCATGTAATTATAAGGATAGAATCCTTTTCTACGTATGAGAGTTCTACAAGTTTGGCTTACGTTTTGAAAGTGGTTTTCCAGAATTGTAAATTTGTTGTCAGGCAAGTTGTCAACTAACTTTTGTAGTGATGAGTTTAGAAACTTGAAAGAATCTATAAAACGAAGATACTCATAAATGTTTTGTGTTGTTTGATCTTTTCGTGTAATGATTTTAACCACTACTCCGATAATTAGTGAAATATATTTCTCATCGGTGGATGGAATGACTTGTATTGTACTACGCGAGTCACATTCGTTCAACGCTAGACATATATGATGCATGTCATAATTCTGCAAATTGTGTCCCACGACTGGAATGTAATTTATGTTTCTTCGCGCTAAATTACATTTGTCGTGGGTCCATCCTAGAAATTTTCCCGAAGAGTGACAGTGATCCAGGCACTTTTCTTCGCTTTCACTGAAGTTTTCTTGACAAATCCAACAGGTTAAAGTTTCTTCTTTACGCAGTTGGCTGCGATCTCCCAAATAATGTGGTACTTTCCGTTTATAGATGTAAACGTCTCGGGCTAATAGATGTAACTCTTTGATAAAGTTTTCTAAACAATTTTCAGAGCTGTCAAGACTAAAGAAAAATGGTTCTGAGGACTCATGATCAATAGCAACCATTGAATACCCGGAGGGTTCATGTTTTTCTAGAACGCGAGATGAGGAAATTTGTGGGTTGTTCATACATGTTGTAACGGGATTCAGGAACGATTCGAAATCAAAATAAACAACAATAGGTGCATACCAGAGAGCTTGAAAGTTTTTAAATTTATACTTGTGGCAGCCATTTTCAGCTGTTGGCATTATCACTACAGCTGGTTCGTGATCTTTACATAA